CACAGCATGTGGTATAGTTCCTCCTACTCTTAGTGCCAATCTGTAAGGAACCAACTCGCCGAGGTGTCGTAGGCTAAAGGAACCCCGAAAGCATGACCAAAATGACAAAGAGTGCATTGGATGGGACCAAGTCGAAGATCGAGTCCAAGACCGACTCTAGGACTGAGTTCGAGATAGAGTCCGGAATCGAGTCCGAAACCGACTCGGGGACCGAGTTCGAGTTCGAGTTCGAGACCGAGTTCGAGACAGAGTCCGAGATCCGAAATCGGGTCCGAGACCGAGTCTGAGGTCGAGTCCGAGGTCGGGTCCGAGATCGGGTCCGAGATCGAGTCTGAGATCAAGTCCGAGATCGAATCCGAAATCGGGTCCGAGATCGAGCTAGAGACTAAGTCCAAATACTAATACGGGTCAAGGGGTGAAAGCCCAAAGCGTGCGTCTCCCAGGGGGGGGGGGGGCTGCAGGGGGTTCCAAAAGTATAGTAGGGATAGTGAGGTCCAGGAACTAGTTTTGAAGGGACTCTCCAATGGGGCTTCCAAACCAACTTGAGGTTGAGACTGGGACCGAGGGGCCTTAGGTGGGAGTGAGCATGGACTTGTTTGGTGCCGGAGGGGCCATCCAAGGAAGTGCTCAAGAGCAGCTCCCACTCCCGAAAGGGAAACCGATTGCGGTGCTCTCGGCTCATGTGGAGTGGTGCCCCACTTGAGTACCATGCGGCTCATTGGTCCTCGCCCTGTCTAGGGGCTTGGGCCTTCCTTCGGGATGGAAGTGGGGGGGTAGAGGTACCCATACCGGGCCGCTAGGCCACGGTGTTTCGCCCCGGCGTCCCGAAGCAAGTGTTGCACTCAAGACTTGGGATTTAGAGGGTCCCATGATCAAGTCTTGTGGTACCAAGGGATATTAGGAACTTGGAAGCTTGGTGTGCTTGGCTGCTTGTGCTTGCGGGGAGTGTAGCCGAACCTTAAGTCCAGTCTAACCCGAGGAGGGGGATTGGGAGTGATTTGGGAATCCGTGGATGGATGGCTAACACTCCGTTGCTCGTGCAGTGAGTAGCTGAGACCAAGTAGGAGCTGGTACCATAGGCGAGAACCTTGGCAAGGGAACTTAGCAAAAGCCAAGGCAATGTTGGACGGATAGACGAAGTAAGCTGGCAAATTGGAAAGGAAAAATTTGTGGCTTACACAATCCTTGTGTTCAGCCTGTCACACTTGGTCACACTTATAAATGTTGTTGGCGTTTCTAGATTGATGACCTCTATTTTTGGGGTGGAGTCCTTGGTGTCAACAACATTTTATTGGTGCTACTATAGTGAAAGGTTTAGACACCGAGATGCATCTAGGAAATGAAGAGTCATACAAGTAATGGAGGGACTTTACATGAATAAGTCAGTGACCCCTCCATCTTTCTTTTGAAAGTATTATTAAGAGGTTCATTTGGCACTAGTTCATCAAATTTTTACTTTCCAAACTCGTTTTTATAACAAAATGTTTTTTATTATTCTCTCTGTGTTGGTTGATACAGATTCGAGTTTATCTCCTATTGCTTGACTTATTGCCACATGTTGCCGTCTACACTTGCATCGTGTAGCGGAGCCAATTTTTATTCTTTATGGCAATGGCCATACACATGTATATGCATAGGCTGAGGCAGACCTAATTGTGCATGTGGATGATCTTGAGCTTTGCAGTTATTGCAAGTGGTGCTAAGTCAAGCTTTTAACCTCATCCTTGGTATGGATTGGTTGCAGCGCAATCATACCAAATGTGATTTTGAGGCTTCTCCCCCTTGTTTCATACTTTTTTATATTTCATCCATTCCTTTCACTTACGTAGCTCTTCGTCCCTTTGCTTTTACCTTTGTTTAAGTCACTTTTGTCTCCCCACTATTTCCTCCTATGTTTTCGTCTTATTCTGCTCTTCCCTTTTTCAATCCCTTTGACAATCTTTGTATTGTAGTGGTTGATCGGCTCATGAAGGAATATGTCAATCTCTTTGAATGTGACCTATTGCCTAGGGCCAAGATTGCCACACATTATTCGACTCCAAATGGGGATGCTCGTCCAATCAACGTTCCTATTCGTCGTCAATCACCCAAAGAGATCAAGATTTTACGTACAAACATCAATGAGATGTTGGAAAAGGGTGTTATTCAAAAGTCGCGGAGTCTTTGGGCATATGAATCTCATATTGTGATGAAGCCTGATGGGAGTATTCATTTCTGCATCAATTATCGTATATTAAACAAAGTGATGATCCCAAATATGTACCTTCTTCCTCACACTACTGATCTCTTGGATCGTTTGGGGAGAAGTTGTTGGTTCACCAAGTTAAATCTTGCTTCTGGATACTGACAAGTATTGATGGCCGAAGAAGATATTCCTAAGATTGCTTTTTGTACACCGTTTGGTTTGTATGAGTTCTTGGTGATGCCATTTAGTACAATGCTTTAACAACTTTCTAGTAGATGATGAACAAAGTTCTTTGTGATATGCCGAAGGTGACTATTATCTTTATTAATGATGTCTTGATCCATTCGGAGGGCACATGGGAGGAACATGTCTGTGATGTTCATGAAGTGTTTTATTGGCTATGAGAAGTTGGTTTAATGTTGAAGCGGTTAAAGTGTGTGTTTGGGTCTCAGGACAGAACTTATCTTGGGTACTGTATTTCTTGTGAGGGTTTGTAAATTGATCCTGACAAACTTATGGTTGTTCTAAAGTTCTTTACTCTGAAGTGTGTGAATGATGTGCAGCACTTCCTGGGCAAGGTGCAATATCTTGGTTGTTTTCTAGATCATCTTTTTGATTGCACTGCACCATTATGAGCGTTGCTAAAGTCATTAATGTCATCTTTAATCTGGTCTCTAGATTGTGAATGGGTGTTCATGGATCTTAAAGAGCTATTGATGACTCCTCCAGTTTTGGCATATCCTGATTACACTTGACCTTTCATTTTGCGTGTGGATGCTTCTGATATTAATCTTGGAGGCATGTTGATACAAAAGAGCCCGAGTGTGCATGTTAGCATCATCCCATTGCGTATATAAGCCATACATTACAACCAGTGGAGGTGAACCACTCTACAACAGAGAAGAAGTGTTTAGTAGCAGTTTAAGGTTTCGAGAAACTTCATGCATATCTACATATTTCTCGGACGTTACTAAAAGGTGATTATGTTGTCGTTACTTCATTATTGAAGTGGAAAAATCTGGTTGATTGTATTGCTCAGTGGGCTTTGAAGTTTTAGATATGTGATTTTAATGTTATTCATCACCTAGGGAGCTCTATGGCTGATGCAAATGCCCTTTCTCAAGCTCCTCTTCTTTCTCCACTTTCTTCTCATGTTGCTGATGAGTCTGTTATTCCAAGATCTGTGGATTTTCTCGACGAGGATTTTGTGCTGTTGGTAGTTGGTGTACTTGATATTCAGTGTCCACAAGGTGTAGAGAAAGATCTACTTTCTCTTGATGAGGTTTGCGAGGCTAAAAAGATTGAG